ATATCCCCATCATTACCTGCTTACTAGGACCCGTGTCTCATGGAACAACTTCTTCTGCCAACAGTAGCCACATTGAAACCTTATCGACAATCACGCATGGAGCTATAATGAAGAGACAGGTGCCTGTTCTAGAGGAAAATGCGGGGTTGAGAGTTTATGGTTTAGGGCTAGAGCGTGAAGATTAAGACATATTAAGACGTCGTGCTTAGAGGTTAGGACGTAGGAAGGGCTTGAAAAACTTAGACTTCGTAGAAACCTGTGCTGCCACAATGCCACAACCCTAAACCTGAGTTTTCAACCCCCAACCCGACCTTTCAACCCTCAAGCCCGACTCAAGCCTTAAACCTCAGACCCTGACCCCTGAACCCAAAGCCCAACACTGGCGATCGCCTTGCCATAACGACCCAAAAATCCACTCAAATCTCAGGCATCCAGAAGCCTTTAGGGTCCAAGGACTTTTATACACCCTTGGATGGGAGAATGGCTTATATGGAACATCCTAGGAGATTGTACTGAGACTACTGTCGGGATCCATTACCCTGCAGAATCTATAGTAGCTTCCGTGTTCTTTCCACTCCCTGATTCCTTGTTAAACACCAAGGAGCAGGCTTTCGAGCCGGCAGGCCATGAATCCTAATTACCAAGCCCCCAAAATGTGGTTCACGGTTGACAGTTTTAGGGATCAGGGTTTAAGGCATAGACGCTTTCATCCTGACCCTTGTACGCCGATTCAAACTGATCCTTCCTGGGCCTCTGGCGGTGCAAACTCTGTGATGGCACGGCTCCTCTTGAACTCTTGCCGGAGGACGCCTGTCCAAAATACATGAGCTGAACTCTAAACTCCTAGTATCCCCCTTTGCAACCCCGCTAATACTCCCCTATATAATCCCCCATGTAACCCCAATAACGAGTTTAGACTATAGCTCACATGAAGGCTTCCAGGGTTTGGGGTCCCAGGTGTAGTGGATGGTTGACGGAATAGGGGTTGGTGGATGTGCGAGGTCTTAGGCTTTAGTTGATGATTGGAGGTTTAAGGTGTCAAGGTTTAGGTTTCACAGCTCATGGTTTAAGGTTGAGGGCTTAGAGTTGCTGGAAAGCCAAGGTCCTAAGGTGGCCGGGAGAAGAACAAACAGAACAAGAAGGAAATGAATAGCTGCAAATGAACTGATGCATCGAAATCCATGCAACCCAAACCTGAAACCTGGAATCATCAGGGGAATGTGAGCTCTCAGAGTGCCCTGGGTGCAAGAAGCTTGCAATGGATTACAGGAAGTCCCCTGAAAAGTTACGTAAGGACTGTGTTCAGAGACTTGTCTTTGGCAGCTCCAAGAAAAGGGATTGATCCACAAATGTAACCTTGTCCTTATTAATATGAAGATTCCCAAAATGGTCCCCTAACCTCAGAAACAGCATCTGTCTCTTTGGCCTGTATCTGAAGGAGGCTTAGAGCTCAGGAGTCAACTGTTTTGAAGGTTGAGGTTTCCTGCTATGTCCTTAGAATGTAGTAGCTTGGGGCTTCGGTAAACTGTGTGTTCATGGCTTCAGGGCTTGGGGCTGGGGTGATGAGGCTTGGGGTTTCAAAGCTCGAGCTATGGCTTTAAATCTGAAAAGCACTCCCCCACTACGACAAACGCATGCAGGCACAGAGGAGGTTTGAACATGTCTGTTGCGAATTGATGCCTAATTACCCTGCGCCCGAAAGCGTAAAAGCGTATCCTACGCCCCCAAAGTCAGCGCCCCAGAACCAACAGTGTGGATCCTTTAACTCCATTCATGCTACCGAAAACCAGACCAGATACCTTCCAAAGAACGGGGACCGCGTTTAAGTGACCACTCTCAATAACCTCAACGAAGCCTGAAAACCTAAACCCCACATTGCAAACTCCAAGCCCCACCACTACACCGTAAAACTCTAATCTCACCGAATTTGGGCTTGGCCGACACCTTCCTACCTCAGCAGAAGCACCCCCCTCCGCCTGAATCGGGATGCCTGTGGTTGTCTTTGCCTCATGTGAGAGTTTCTCAAACAAGCCCCTGTACAATCCCTCAGGTCCCTTGCATTCTGCCCATAGGATTAAGTTTGCGGACACAGTTTTCCTCTTAGGGTGCAGGGTTTAAGCCTTGCTTCGCCCCTTGGCGTTTAGGAATCCGGTGATTTCTGACCCCCCTTTAGGTTTAGCGTCCAGGCGTGTTTTGCCACCTTGGGCGTTAAGTTGAGGTTCAGGGCTGAGGGCCTGGCCTCGATATAAGGGCCCCGATACTTGCCAAAATCATTGAGGTCTACTTGAGGTAATTTATACCACTACAAAAGACCTGGATCATAATTCGAAAACTCTTCCTGTATCAGGGCTGAAGTAGCTTTGAAGGTTCAAGACTTCTGCAGCTAAGGGTCAAAGGCATCAGTCTTGTATTCCGTTAGGAATTAGCCTTCACTGTCTAGGGTTTAGGGATCAAAGGGTGTAGGGCTGTAGGGAGTATGGGTTACGGACTTGGCTTACGATGTCACCTGCCTAGACTCAGACGGCTGTACAACCAGGTGAGAAGTTGTAGCTTGTTGTGACTCTTCCATGGGATTGGGTTTTTTTCCGGCAAGGGCTTGAGATCCTATGCGTACACAGTCAACACCTCTGGTAACTGCAGCCATCCGTAGATATATGGATCAGAAGATTCTGCGTTGCCTGTACCTATTATCTCGACCCACGCCAAGGATGAAAGGTCCTTGACTCTTTACCCTACACCCTGACATCAAACGCAGTGTCCTAAAGCACAGGAACTCGACAACCCACACGCCTTTCAAAATATACCTGAAGATGAATAATGCTCCTTCAAAGTTTGTATATGAAAGTAATAGTACGCCTCATAGTTTATCAAGTCTCCACCTTCATCCGAGCGACGATATCAATCTGCATGATGTCACCGTGCGAGTACCTGGAATCCCAACACCCGGAGCTCTACAGTAAACCCTGAACTCTGAACACCAACCGGGTGACCCTAACCCAACACCTTCAACTCAGAATTTACGAGAACGTAAAATTTTCACCCTGGACCATCATCCCTAGATCTCAAATTCGTCCTAAATCCTACACCCCAGACATTAGATCCTGAGCCCTAAGAGTCTAAGAGCCAACAAGCTCAATGTTCAGGTCTGGCTGGCATCTGCTACTTCCAACATTTTAGAGGTAAGGGCTTAGAGTGCAGGGTCTGGGCTTTAGGGTTTATGACCTAAGTTTTGTGCGTTGAGACCGCCATTTGTGAAGGGATTCGCTACAGCTTTCAACACATCTTAAGCGCATCCTTTGCAAACATTCGAGTCTCACTCCTGATTGCAAGCCCATTCAAGAACAACCACCGATTTACACCGCTTCTGGGACCTAGCAATTTCCTGAACCTGCAACCAAGCCTACTGAACTCCTTAGTCGAACGAACCAAGTGCTTCTGAGAGGCTGAGAGGATAGGCTAATTGACCTTCCCGTGAAGCCTGAAAGCCAGAAACCACAACACCCACACCAAAATTCTAACACTCCCACACTCCCAAGCCCAAACCCCCAAGGCCTGAGCCCTAAAGCCCCGAGAAGCCCTCAATTAGTCCCCAAGCAAATTCCGTCTGTCTCCCACGGCGCACGCTGCGCACGCTGCCCCTCATCAACCTCAACTGCCTAATCCGCAGGAGCACTAAAGTCACCAAAGGATTTCTTGGACTGCTAAGAAATTAGATTGCTGGGCTATGTCAGAACTTGTGTTAATTTTGTTAGTCTAAGCGCTGAAGCTTGCCTTGAATTGAAGATTGCTTATCAAACTTTGAATTCTGACAACTATCCACCTGCATTTCGGCATCCAGCATTACAGGGCATAGCCACGCTTTTTGATTCCTATGATGGAGGACCCAAACCGTCACATCCCGCTAAGCCCATGAAGTAACTGCTTGAGCCCATGGCTGCAGAGGGGCATGCCTACTCAACGGCACTGTCGTCGTTGCTCTTGTCAGCGAAAGCCTGAAACCCTGAACCCTTAAAACTCCAAAGCTCATACCCTAAACCCACAACCCTCAGCCCCACGAAATTCTGGGGCTGGCTTGAAACCCGTGATACTGCGGCAGGGGGTTCTTTGAGACACCGTTGGGCCCCAGAAAAAAAAACACACACACATTCGCGTAGCTTTGAGGTTGAAGGCTTGGAGGTTCGTGATGTCTTTGCGGCTTTTGGGGATCCGCGGCCTTAGCGTCGAAGCCTGAATGCTGAAAAGCTTCGAAGTCAACTTGAGGCACCCTATACTGTAATCATAGATTTAATATAGGACCATAGTCTCATAAATTATTTCAGCCACTGTAGTCAATACTAGGCTTTGAGACTTAATCCAGGCGCTTCTGCAAGCCTATGCCATAAATCCACCTCAGGATTGTGTTCTTTGGACTATGTGGGCTTGAGGCTTCAGGGTTGTAGGTGGCCCTCCCAAGAAGGGTGTTTCTCAAGTGTTGGCTCCTCCCTGCCCTGAGAGGACGCCCTCGTCATGCGGATTCTCAGTACAAGGACCCATGTTGTTGAAAATGCTCCACACAAGACGTTCAAATCCTTAACACTGAGCCCTAAACTGTGCAAATATCTTGTTGGGCACATTTCTCCGCTCGCAGCTGCTGTATTGCACGCGGACACTAGGGCAACAAGAAGGGCAAGGGAACGAAGAAAAAGTAATAGAACCGAAACGATAGGACCAGCTCTTGTACCATACACGGCTCTCATGGATCTGCGTATTCAGCCTGAGAAATCTGCGAGGTAAAGCTGCTCAGATGATGTTTTATGTGAATCTCCTAGAGCCCTCCCATACCCTGAACCTAAGTCCCACCATCTTGAACTGCCAAGACCCGACAACCAAACCGCCAACCCAGAAGTGGCAACATCTCAAGTTTTGGAGGTCCTGCCCTCACCATGCATGAACTGGATCCTGCGATCTACATCTTGAAGTTTGGTGATCAGGGTTCAGAGGACTCGTAGCGTCTTCTCTGTTCAGCTCTGCACGCGAACTTGCGTCAACTCCACGATTTCAGCGTCATTGAGGATCGCCCGTTTCCCCAACGTGGAAAGGAGGATGTACCTCGCTACTTCAATTTAGAAACCTCCACACTCTGTCTGACCCCTAAGCTGATGTAGGGCTTGAGCTTTGCGGTTCAGAACCACCTGCATATTCCGTGACAAGTTCTAGACCAAGTTACACGCAACTCCCCGAAAAGAGAGCTCGGGAACCCGAGAAACGTTTCATGGAGACGCCGAACAATTTGGGGCATGCGGCGATGTTGGAGGACTATATGAATGACAGGTTGGCAAAATCGGTGTCCTTTTTGGATCGATACTACCACCCCCAACAGCTAGAGCGCAACGAATACAGACGACAATTTTTCACGACCCCCCATACTCACGGATTTTGGCTTCGTCTGATGTAGGTTTGAGGGTCTCAGGGTTTCAGGTTGTTGTGAATAATGTGAATGTGGATGTTTCTATCTGTTTGAATAAAGCCCCACCCTAGACCTTAAACCGCGGAACCGAAACATGGATTCGGTTTCTGGTGAGCCTTGTGCTGGTTGGTTGCTTAATGCCATGTGACCCCAACCTTGTCTTTACCGGTCAGGCCTTAAGTATGAAGCTTCAGGTTTCAGGGCACTGCCTAACTAAATATCCAAAAGTTGAAGCCTGACACGCAGCTCCAGAAGGCCACACCCCAGGCATTCCTAGACCCTCATTCCTTCAAAGGGATCTTTGCATTTTTGTTCTGCCAAGTTGCATGAATGTATGAAGATCTGTATCTCACATATGAAGTTGGCTTTTGATCTTTAAGGCTAGCTCTGTCGCGGCTCTATTTTTCCAAGGGAGCCAAGATGCCAAGTCGAAGCCACTGCAGCCGCCAGGGGAATCCCACGAATCAGGTCCGACACAAAAAATTGCCTCACCAGAATTTAAGGTTTCAGGCTACCAGGCGTGGAGTTTCAGGGGTTCAGGGCTACTTCTTTGGGAGCTCTTGGACCAGACTTTGCGGCCTGCTGTCCCGCAAGAATCCAGATTCAGAGGGTTCGCTAACTGTGTAGAGCTTGAGCCACTAATCCCTGTGCCTTCGTATCCCATGTACACACGAGATGATCAGCCCATCAGCTCAAGAAACTCTAGACCCGGAACTTGAAACTTTAAGCGCCAAAAACACTTTAACGACTAGCCCTGAATCCTAAATGACACTATGTTTTCCATGTTTCCCTTGCCTTCACTCCCTAACAGCCACCCAGCTTAAACCCCTAAACCATTAATTGCACTTACTGTGTCATCTTCCATTCTTCATTTGAGTCTGTGTTATCCTAAACCAGGAGAGCGAACTCCAATAAAAAACCTTTCCGCAGCAAAGCTGCGGAAACAGGCGACGCACGTATCGGCAGCGTCGCTCCGAAAGCACGCAGGCCAGGGGATAGAATATACAAACGGCCTCAGGATTTTTTGGAGGGCTTGGGATTAAAGGTGTAGGGTGGATAGAAGGGAAGGAAGGACAAGAAAAATAGAAACTACGATTCTTTTATTAATCAGTGTTTGGGGTGGTCGGGCATGGGCCAGGGACTACTACAATGCACTGCGACCCCGTTTCTCGATTCCTTCCGAAGCACCGATGATTTGTGAACACGCTACATGCTTCTTGCCTATGCGTGTGAGCCCCGAAATCAAATTAAGGCCAGGCCACAACAACGGCCGCTGCCACGAACACTGCCGACGCCTTGCCGCCCCGCCTTCGCATGTTGGCTAATTCAAACCCCTGCTTAAATCCCATGCTACTTACAACCCGAGTATAAGTGTAGCTATCACCTTGGTCATAGTTGGGCAATAACTTGAATTAGTGTTTGGCATGGATGGAGAAAAAAGCTTGCACCACCCTTTTTACGTTATACCTTGGGAAATACATGCGTTTGGAAATCCTAGCTACTGCAAGATTTCTAGACCTTAAGCTCGAAACCCTAAAACTCGAACACTATGGGGATACCCTTCGGAACCCCAAGCCCTAAACACTTCACGCGAAAACTCGGCATTTCTGGGGCTCCCCTTTGTTCACGTATAGGGACCTTTTTAGGTTTATAGGGCTGGGCATACCCCATTAAACCCCTTAGCCCTAAACCTCAAGCCCCCAAAACCCACTTTGTGCATCTGGGGTTATTTCCCCTTATGTGTCCATCTGAATCCAGTATCTTTGCCAAACTTCGTGAAGATTACCCTTTTAAAATTGTCCAGGTGCCAGACTCTTACCTGGTCCCTGTTCCCGCATTCAAAGGGAACTTTGCCCTCTGATTGCTCCGGCTTTGGTCTGCTTGGAACTGACACCTCAGGCTGCACCATCTCGTCCGATCCTCTTCCATTTTGCCGCTCCAGCTTTCCACCGTTTTGTCTCCTCCAATTGTGACCTTCATTGGACAATACCTAAAACCCTAAACCCTAGCCCCATACACCCTGAACACTAAACCCTAAGCCCCTAACCCCGAGAATCAAAACAACTGTTTGATAAATTCGGAATATGGCCTTGACTGTAAAATCTTGCCTTCCACACTGTAGCCGAATGTTTGCAGAAGAGACTTCAATCTCACAAGGAAGGGTTGAGTGGCTGCCAGCTTCTTGCTTTGGATGTTTGCTCTCAAAGACTCCAGCTGCTTAGCCACTCTGTCCAGGTAGCTGAGCACATGCAACTCTTTCATGCTAACATCAATCATGTAATTGAACCGAAAGGCCACCAAAGCCACCACATCCCTGACCCAAAGAATAGGGTTGCCATGACCTCCAACTCTGACTTCCACCTCCATCTACCTAACGGTAAGAAGTCAGGACTTCAAGCAAGCATTTTCGCATGAGTGTTTAGGGGTATTAAGTCTAGACTAGCGGCTTTCTTTGATTTCAACACAATCTGCCACGGGGGAGCAGCAATACGGCGCCTCTGAAGGATTATGCAAGTTATCAAGATAAGGGGGTTGGGCTATGAGAGCAATGTCTTGCACTAATTTCTTGCATACCCGCAAAGCCAAGACGGCAACAGCCTTAAGCCACAGAATTCAGACCATAGACACGACAAAGCCATTCCCAAGTCGGCAACCATGTAGGATTTGGGGCTTGGGATGGAAACGAAGCTTCAAACCCCAATTCTTTCTGAAGACAAACCCTAATCGCCGCCTGCTCTGAGCTTGTGACGCAACTAGGCTGCAGCGGAAGAGGCCGAGCGCCACCACCTTCAACACGCCTTCCATGACCTCATGCGGGGAGCTGAGGGTTTAAGACTTAGGGCGGGTTTGGGATCTTTGGGTGTGGTTTCAAGTTAAGCTTAGGCCTCAAGAAGCCCAAAGCCTAAACTCAAATCATGCCAGAGGCACCATGGATAGCGTGGAGATCAGCGCCACAGACGACACGCTCAGAGAGTCGTCGTCATCGCTGTCTGGCGGAAGACGCTCTACGTTGAGGGTTTAGGAGGTTGTTGCGTGCAGTGAAGAGTGTAGGGGCCAGGGGTTGAGGCTTAGGATTGGGTTCAAGGTTAGGAGTGTCGGTGTCTTCTCACCGATTGACACTTCAAAAACTTAACTATCAAGGAGCTTCAGGAGGTTCCTTCAGGGTAAAGCTTGACATGCAATGCCTCCTCTGAGAATCATTTTCACACAGCATTAACCACACCCAGCCCACATACATCAAGTCCTTCTGCGTAATATTGACATAAGGGGTGAGGGGGTGCTGAACATTCGAGGAAGGGCTTACGTGATAAAACGATGTTCTGCCATTAGCTCCCATGATTTTTGGTCTGAGAATATTGATGTCCTTCCTTCTCAACGCGCGTGATCGCCTATGGCAAGTCAGTAATTGCAATGGGCGCGCGTTTTTGCGTGCACTTCGGGCCATGGAATCTATTGATTATCAAGGGGATCACTGGGTGAAGAGACTTCACCAAATCCAGGGCAAGCACTGAAGTCTGGCTGCGACCATGCATGCGGATGTGTATTTGCAGGCTCAAGCTTCAACATCTACAGAGTCCAAGCAATATGCCCTATTCTTTAAGGCATCTTGCATGCTGTCCTAGGACATGCAGATGCTAGCACGAATCCAAAACAACAACCCCAACACCTAAATCATACCATGACCGTCTACAATCCAAACCCTGTCACATTTCCCAAACGTCTGGCCAAAGCCACTCGAAACTTCAACCCTAAATCTAGGCCCTACACCCTCCTCCCTTACCCTAGACCCTTTGCGGCTCCCAACCTGAATCGGAGATTGCCGCGGCATCCGACGTCAGAGAACCCGCGCTGTAGTCCCAACTGAGCCGTGGATTTTGGATGTTAGGGGTGATGATGTGTCATGTGAGTTTAAAGCTTCATACGGATTACACCGAGAGTATTGAACTTCCGTCTTTCTTCATCCTTGGGGCTGCTTCACCCAGCGGCATTGCTTCTTTCTTACATTGCGTACCATCGCCAGGATTCGGAATCTCACCGCTTGTGGGAGACTTGTTGTCCCTCAACGCCAAACCCTGAACTCTAAACACGTAAGAGTCAAGGAACAGGAACGGCACCTGCACTCTGAAGAGTGAGCCAAGCCAAAGCTGGAAAGGCTTGAGGTTTTAGAGTTTGGAGTGTAGGACTTGTTTTGGGTTCGGGGCACAGGGTTTGGAGCTTTAGGCTTGGGTTTGCTTTTTCCGCGTAAAATCCAGCCGCCACCAGTCCCTGGCTTCTGCTTAGTGAGGAGATGCTTTCGCTACCCCAGCCCAAAACTATCATTATCCCTCTGAAAAGCTTCTTGTTAATTACAAGGCGCGAAGTTGCCAAGTTCTTCTGCTGACTGCGAATATCATGAAACCAGAAAACCACATGGGCTTTCTTGAAGCAGCGAAAAGGACTTCCAAGATTTTGGGAAAGTTGCAGATACGCATTAGCAACAGCTTTCACCCTTGGGCGAGTGAGGTTGAGGATAAAACGCAGTTGGCCATGCTCATTCCCACACTGCCTGACATTAACTCTAAAGTATGATAGTATAATGTAGTATCTTACATGATGCTATGGTATATTCGGAGATGATATACCTTATAAGACAATATTCCATTACGATATTTGTTATGTGTTGAGACAGGTTTAGGAATTCGGTGTTTATGAGAATGTGGGGGTTAAGGTTTAGGTTTGAAGGATTGGTGCTTGGGGTCCGGACCTGTCGGTCAAGGATGAGGGTTTAGCGATTAGGGCTTGTAGTGGGACTTTTGGGTTTAGATTTTGAAGTTTTCGGTAGTAAGCCTTAGGTTTGAATGCTTAAGTCCCAAGCTTGGAATCTCTTAGTGATTGCGGTTGAAGGTTCGGAGTTTGTTGATCAAGCTACAGTGTCGCGGCAGCATCCAACATAAAAGCGACAGCCCTGGACGCCTCCATCATCAGCCCCTAACCCCGAATCCAGTAAACCCTACAGCCTTGACATCTAAAATCCTTACAACCTCAACCCTCATCCAGAGCTAGGCTCTAAAGCTTAAACTTAGCGGTGATGAAGAGGAGTGGGAAGTAGGTCCCAATAATGCTCCCAGTTCCCAGTATAACCCCCAACAAACATCCATATTCACTGCTTCCCCATCAGCACCAGTAAGACCAGGAATGCCAGGCAACTTAAACCCTAAACCCGACACAACATAGTAGCTCCCACCTGCTCTTCCATTGCTAACCCTACAAATTTCCCCTCAGCACTGCGGTCACTAGGGTAACAGACTGGGAGCTTCCCTATGAGGTCGCCGTAGAGCGTGGACAGGAACCTCAATGCTTGTTGTGGCTTCTGGGAGCGGGCTTTAGTGTTTAGGGCTGAAAGTCTAGGGCTTAGGGTATAGAGTGTAAGGCTCAAGGCGTAAGGTTTAACAATCGGAGTTAGAACCTTGAGATACGATGGGCAGCACCCGGGGCCTTACAAAATACCTTGAACCCTTAAGCTCATAACAAAATTCAGAAGAGTCCCTATACAGCCCTGTAGATCCCTTCAAAAGGACCCTAAACTTTACATGAAAAAGGTCCCAGGCACAGTGTGAGCCCCCAGCTGACGACTAAAACCTTGCTGCTGCGCATTTGCAAAATGTGGGATTGCGGCATTTGGGTCTACATACGGATGATACAGGGATGGTTCTAGAGATCCACTCTCCAACTCTCCAAACCCTAAAGACACGCCGCCTATAAAAACGAAACTTCAACTGCAAGCCCTAACTCGAAATCCGAAACATAAAAACTCCAACCCCATGGCCCTAAGCCCTAGGCCCCACACCCCGAACCCGGCGCCCTAAGATCTACACCCCAGTCCAAAACCCCAAGCTCCAAACATGAAACCCCCACAAGAACGGAAAAAACACAAAACAAAACCGGACCTCTCTGGGATTGGGGAGTTGGAGGGTGGATCCCCATAACCATCCATGTATACCCCAAATCACAATGGTTCCAACCCAACACCCAGAAACCAGGCACCGAAAAGCGAAAGGCAGCTTGTCATTTTTCCAAGGGTGCCTCGGCTCAGAGCTTACTTGGATGCTTCTGCAATTTAGGTTCAGGGTTAAGGTTTAGGGTTCCTTGTTCGGCTGATATTAAGACGTTCATCCTATATTCCCTCTTAGTATGTCAGGGTTTCAGGACTTGGGTTCACGAGGTTGGGTTTGAGGGTTTAGGATTTGGGACCTAGCCAGCAAGCTTTAATCAGGCTTTGAGGGTTAGGCTTTTGCATCTAGGGTTCGGGTTGTAAGTAGGTCTCAGAAAAATTTCTCGTGGTAACGCTACAAGATGGAACATTGTCGTGCATCTACCCTCGCAACCCACATGGGCCTCAAAACTTGAAAACGTTCAGCCCCGCAGTCTAACGTAGAAGCTTCCATAATTATCGCTGCTCTTCCCGTTTAAACCTTCTTTTTAACCCTTGTAAATTTTCTGCAAGTTTTGGAACCCCCCGAATTCTACGCGAATTTCCTAAGCCCCACCCGCTGGATTCAATCTTAATCCCCAAAAACCAAAAGGTTCCCAGCTGGCTGAAGCAAAACCTAACCGTTGCAACAAACAGCCTGGCTCGAAAAAAGCTTTACGAACATTCTTCTGTACTGATGGGAAGGTTGAAGAAGGTTGTAAGGAAATAATGATGGCATTCAAGGTTCTGCATGCGATTTCAATGGGGGCTGCAGTTTTGGTCTCTGTTCTTCAAACATTGAATGTCTCTGCGGGTCCACTGCATTCGCGCTGTATCAAGAGTTCTGACACTTGTATGTACAAGATATTACACCGTTTGAACTGATGGACCCGCGCGTCTCCAAACTCATGCCTTTTTGGGGTAAGGATAGAAGTCACTACAGGGCATATAAGGGGCATTCTATTTATGGAAACTACCATATAATCCCTCATCCTGGATCTTGAAACTTGAAAGCCTAAACCCTACAGAGAACCAAGCCCCACGCCCTAACTCCCCAGGCCAAAGCCCAGGGAATCCTAGTGATGGCCCCTAAAAGTCCAAATGCTTCGCGTGTGCCAGGGGTACGTCAGGAGGCATGCATGCAAGATCCACGCCCTCCAGGGTTCCTCGGATTTAGGATTTCATAGCTTCGGGCTCTCGATGTAGGATTGAAAATCTTGGGTTGGACTGTCTCAGGTCCAAGCTCACAGCTTCAGGGCTTGGGAGGTTTGGGCTTGGGGTTCAAGGTTTAATAAAGCATTGTTTGCCTCTGCAGAGTGGAATATAGCGGGTCCTGTTTAACGGATAACTCATACTATGTAGCAGCAGAAGAGTACTCCATGTGCAGACTTGTTGTGCCCACGTCTACATTTCTCACTACTACCCAAACCACCTAAAGCCTCAAACCACTGAAACCACGAAACCTGAACTCCAAACTCCTGAACTCGCTAAACCCACGACTCAGGTACAAAACCAGAAGGGCTTGGCGTTCGGCAGAAAATGGCAGAATGTATCCCTATAGCAATCCCCACGAACATGCTTAATCCGCCACAACAATCCCTACAGTCAAATCCTTACTCCCCTACCGAACACAACAAAACTGCCCTCTAGCCCGCATGTGGGGAGTTGCCCGAATCACGATGTTGTTCGGGGTAGCCTTAAAATGAAGGGTCGTATTCTACGTGGCCATAATTTTGACAACCCACCCTGTCAATATGGGTCCGAGGATCTTGAGGCTTCGACGGTCTTTGGCAGGCCAGCCTAAAATCCCCTATCAGGGCTTAGGGGTTTATGGTTAATGGTTTAGAGCTTAGTTGTTGATACTTTTAGGGTGCACGGCTTTGAATTTGGGGCTGACAGTTTGGGACTATGGACAACTCTCAGTTCGTCCAAATAAGAGGAATGAACTGTCAATGGAGGCTCACAGAAATGTATAGGTATAGTATAGAGATACAGGCCATTCTTGGATCCACTCCCTCACTCCCACCCTAAATAATCCTAAGCCCCAACTCCTAGACCTTGAGCATCAGGAAGTATACTGAGCCTTCTAGCGACAATTTGGGTATGAACGCTTCGTCCCAGGGCCGCGGATCCGCCCCTGCTGCAAGGTTGAGGGTTCAGGGTTCAGGGTGTAAGATTGAAGACTTAAGGTCAGTAGTGTGTAGGGGCATTTCGGTATTCTGGTGCACTAAGGTCATGCAGGATTCTTAGTATCAACCGCAGAGCTTGGAAGTTGGGTGTTGGGAGTTAAGGGCTTGCGTGTCTAAGGTTGAATGCTTATTTGCTTTTCTGGTGTCAGAAAATGGGTGGGGGAACTAGGATACAGGTTCGGTAGCCTATGGCCTCAAGGTTTACCAAACTAGGGCTGAGGGTGCTTCAAGCATTTTACCCAACCTGCATGGTCAGAGGTTGGGAATGCAGATGCCTTGGATACGGGCCTCGCCTAGCAAGAGTCTATAGTCGGCGCTTTAAATACTGACACTATGTTTGTGGCCCAACTGTTACTAGTAGGGGCAGTATCCACAAAGACTGGGCATTTGTAAGTTAAAAACGGAGATGTTCAATAGAGAATATCGAACAGCCCATGTAGGCTGCCTTTTGCGGGACACATGTTCCAGTTGATGATAGGGCCTAGATTCTACAATTTCAGGTTCTGGAGTTAAGAGCTAGGTTTGGGACCTTAAAGGGGGAGTGACTGCTTCATACTTTAGCTTAGCACCTCAGACCACCTCAACGTGAGAACCTGAGAACATGTAGTCTTACAATTCCGCAATAATATTTGAATGTTCGCCTTGTTCGCAGGGGCAATTATGATGTTGGCAGTTTCGAGAGTGTTGGCCTAAAGTGATTGGATGGAGGAAAACCTGCACCACCATTTTGCCCTAAACCTTGAATGATTTTTCATGATCGTTAGTGGGACAAGGTGGCCTCCATCCACCGTGTTGGTCGTGTTTTTCCCGTGGCTTGCTGGTCACGATTGAAGGGCACTCGCTTAAGAGTTTAGGGTCCCGGTTCTTGCACCTAGCATGTCTGCATCAATTCTTGAAGGCCCTTGCAAACCACAGCCTCACCTAGAGAACTTGACTTAGAAGGAACATAGGGGATTGCAAGTAAGGTTAGGAGTCGGGTAACAATAGTCTACAAAGATAATGCATTATTGGGATGATTCCAACCCTGCTCACCTACCCATGAATCTCAAATGAATTTCTGTGACGTCTGCCATTCGCCACTAATCCCCCTAACGATGACACACAGAAAAAAACTCAAGGCAACGCATTGGGGCAGCTTGCAAAACTGGCCCGCATCTCTTCTTCCTATTGTAGGGATTGCTTGATAACCGGGTTGAAGTTAAGGATCACTTTCCTGAAGTCCGTTGCTCGCAACAAACCAGCTCCAAGCCCTGGGTCCTAAACCTAGAATCCGAAGTTCTCCAAGCAACCAAACCGCCAAACATGCCTTTTTTTAGAAATTCATGCCTTCACGTTCATCAGACAGGTGCCGGCTCAGAGCAAACGCTCCTACCTCAGATAGGTTTAGGTTAAGGGCTTATGGGTTACAGAAACCCTAAACTCTGAATTTAAACCTAGTTTCCAGCAGTTCAGGGTTTAAGGTTCTGGTAGTCCAGCTCATACTATGAAAACCTTCTTGGTTCAATAGGGCCGAGGGTAAGCTCGAAAGTACGGGGGGTTCATGGTCATGAACCATTTTGGAGAGTGAAGGATGTTCCCAAACTGATGAGTCCCTTGTGCATGATTGCACTATTCTGGGTATACACAGGAAAAACTTAGTTCCGAGAAATACCCACTTTAACATGACTCCTCCCTACTACGGGCTGCTTTTTGCGGAGCAACTGCGGATGCAGCAACAAAGCGACTGGTCGGGAGCACAGCCAACCGTACGCGGACTTATGGTTCAATTCGGGGAAAAGAGCGGGGGGAGGGGACGGGGGGGGGGGGGGGGGGGGCAAGTCTAAAAGACAAAAGTTTGCCCTTGCTGTTTCCCCTGTTTCCAGCGACTAATTTCTCAGAATGGGAGGTGAAGATCATATACGCGTTATACCACAAATTAGGGTCCCCATACCCCCCCCAAAAAAGACACCTTTAAAGACAGCACCCACAAGGCTATCGCCGTCGACAACAAGCGCGAAAAACCAAAGGGGATATCATGTGATCATGAATTCAATGCGCGTTTTGGCCCTACATGGGCCCAAATGACCCAGATGTCCCTGAACCCAGAAAAACTCAATCCTGAGCTCCAAAAACGAACACAATCGAAGTGCAAGAGCAAGCCTCGAAGCCCCGCAACCTCAACGCTAACCTCTGATCCCTAGTCCCCAAACGCTCAAGCTAAAGCCTGTACCCTCCATAAGTGCTTACCTCGTGGCGAGGGTCCCTGTTAACGCAAGCGAGGCCCCCAGAAAACCTGTAGGATGAACTGCAGACTCCTTGGCAACTTGGAACTTCTTGGTATGCAGCTTTTGTGGTCAAGGGCTACGGTGTTCACAGGTTTTGAATGCCAATGCCTTACGGACTTCAAAACAGCTTGCAGAATCCTTCAGTACCCAAAGCTGTTGCAAACTCCTCCTTAAGCAAACAAAAAAAGCCATCTCGGCTTATAGTTCCTTCAAGGG